CCAATGTTTCGCAGGAAAAGTTGGTGTCGTGTGGAATGTCGTGGCCGTCGATCCTTAGGTTCGCAATAAGCGAATTATCGAAAATCAGCTTCAAGGTTTTCATGTCAAGAGTGACGCTTTCCTGTGGCCCGGCAAAAAACATTTGAAAGCCGTTGTTTTTGTGATCCGCACGGAGTGTGACATGCCAATATTTGTCACCACAACTCTTCGCCACCTCCATCATCTTCTTGCTTGTAAGGGCTGTCTTTAAGAAGCTTTTCACGTCCATATTCCGAACGATGTTGTGTTGTACGACGGTAGGGAATGCGCGGAAGTCGATCGTCATCTGGAATTTAGCATTGTTACAGGGTGGCCGATCACCTGTTCGAAAATCATCTGTTCGAAAATCATCTGTTCGAAAAGTCATCTGTTCGAAAATCATCGGTTCGAAAAATCACCTATTCGAAAAGGGTCCCAAATGGGGAAAAATTTTATGGGAAGCTATTGCTATTAAAATGCCGTGTTTTGCATGTTTCGTGGGGAGGTTCGATGAAAATCTGAAACTGCGCGCCTATATCGAATCCTCCGCCAAGCCAAAGAAACGCCCGAGGGTGACCATCGACGAGCAGCAACAGCTCTGCGAGAACTACAGCAAAGAATATATGGCCGAGTTCCTCGACAACATCGCCAAAACTTTAACCTGAATCGTCATGAATATGTCTTCTAAAGCATTTTTGTTTTTTTGTTTTTTTTTGTCATGAAAAGTCTTTTCAAAAAACGTGAATTTTGGAAAAGTTGTTGCTTCGAAAACGGTGATTTTTCGAACAGATGATTTTCGAACAGATGTCTTTTCGAACAGATGAATTTTCGAACAGATCTCTTTCGAACAGATGATTTTCGAACAGATGATTTTCGAACAGATGATTTTTCGGAACGGATGATTTTCGAACAGGTGATTTTCCAACAGATGATTTTCGAACAGGTGATAGGGAATCTTGTTACAGCATTGACGATGATAAAACTAATTGCTGGTGGGAAAGGGAAATACAGCGAGAGATAGAGAGAGCGAGAAGGAGAGAGAGAAAGAGAGAGAGAGAGAGGGGGGGGGCTAGAAAAAAACTAGGTGAAATAAAAGTAGCCATAAAGCAGAAAAAGGTAAAAAATTAAAACGGTTTTTATTGGCAAAGCTAGAAACCGGCATCGTTGTTGGCATATTAGCAGTTGGTGTTTCGAGAAATTAAGTTATAGAATGTGCCTCGTTTGAATGACATCTGGATCCAGGGCATTGGGGGAATTACGTATCGCTCCGGCCAGGGCGTCGAAATTGACCATGGCGGGTCTTTCTACAGTAACATCTGCCAGTCGCAACAGATTTCGGTGATGCGCACTGCCTTCACCCACGAAAGCTGAAGCAAAGAGATTGTGTCAAAACTCGCAACTGGTTCAGAAAAAACCATGGACACCAAAAATTCGGGAACCTTGTCATAAAAGGTATATTAATTTTGGCAGCTCGGAAGTTCTTTAATTTACACGATCAGTACCTCGTGCCGGCTGATACAGTTGTATCCATCGACTGACAAAAAGGCTTGGGTATCGGTTGAAGAATCGCTTGTGCTCTTGGATGGCCAGAGGAGTGCAGGAGGCCACCATGATGCCATGGATTTGTCGTTCACCCCCTCGACCGTTCCTCGACGACAATGTGGGACACAACTTCCGAAAGCGTATTTGACGAAAGGTTAACAAGGGCAATATTTTGACCCATATCGCAAATCGCTATGTAACATAGATTAATCGAAAGAGAATTGACAATAAATGCGAGGTTAAAATAAGGGTTTTTGCGGAACTCCTCCTCTTTAAAAAGTTATTGCAGTTGTAAAGGTTTTCTTAACAAAACTTGAATATTTTCCGATGCGAATATTTTGGTTTTCCGGCGTGATTTGGCTAACCAGACGATCTCGTTCAGACAATTTTTCTCTCTAGCATGAGCTATTTAACTAAAAAATTCGGAAATTCGGAAATCTATATCTGGGTCATCTTGCCTTCAATTGTGACGATCTCAACATCTATCGGTATCTAATCCTCGAGAGCTATCGTTTGGCGCTAAAAATATCGCCTGCTAGTTCTGTATTTCGAGATAACTCAAAGACTATATGTGTACCCGGAAACCCCACTCGCCGGGGCGACCAGAATATCCGTAGTAACATAAATGACGTTAAAATTGTATACCAAACTAGTAGCAATTTGTACCTAAGTTCCAATGATGCCTGGATCTCGTTATTCCTTGATTTTGGCGGTCCAGGACCGACTTCCCGTAAAGGCGAAGCCGCGACCAAAGAAATGCCATATCGCACGAGCAGAATGGAGCTAGTTACAATTTAGCTAACCTTCCAGAATCTCGGCGACAGAACTTTCGTTCCAACCTGATACCTAACTACTAACTAGAGCGGAAAGAACATTCAAAAAATTCTGCAGACCTTTCGAAAGCCACCAAGACAGAGAGCAATTTTGTCGAGGCGTGCGAAAGCTTTGGTCGACCGAGGGAATGAAACAATTAAAGCATTATGGTTGGCCTGTCCAACCTTTCCCACCACTTCCGCGTAACGCTCTACAGCTTCTTGCCCATCTCGTAAACCTGCGATAGGTATCGAATTTGCGTGATTTTATGCCGGCCAATGAAGACGTCAAGCGCCGACGTTCACTTGGTGCAATGGATGTGTGCGATCCTGCTGAATTTCTTTGTGTTGTTCCTGATTCTACGCTACTCCACAAAAGCGATTGGTCGCTACAAATTGCTCTTGGTCGGGTATACAATTTTTAACGTAATTTATGTGACTACGGATATGCTGGTCGCACCGGTAGGTCAGGTTCCGGGGTACACATTGGGTAACAGGGGCGCGGCACTCTTTTATTACAATATTTCGGATTACTGTGGAATTTGGTATGTGCCATTCGATAGAGCGTCAAAAAATATACTAGTAGAATTAATTTCATCCCGAAATAATGAAATGGAATTTTTTATCGAATAAACAAGAACAGATCAAAATCCATGGGTAGCATTGTACTACCGCAGCATAAGGTTGACGGGGAAGCGCGATTTTTGAAATTTGATCTATTTTGAAAGCTCCAATCGATAAATCAGGACAACAAACAACACGAAAAAATATAATATAGAAGTTTTATAGTGGAAAACTATTGTTGAAAACTATGAGCAGTACATGGGATAACGGGGGAGACCTATTTACGGCGTTTTGAACATTTTCGATATTTTGAAGATGCCACCCAATCGGTGCGGAAAAGTATATTAAGAGAATTTATAGCCCAAAAATCCATACTTGAAATTATTTTTATTGTAAAAAACGTTTGGGCCCCCCCCCGTTCCCCTATGTGTAGCCACTGATCCAGACTCTCCTTTTTCGAAACCGCTCATTTTTAGACGGCATATATCGTTGGGAAATCATTCCTGCTGGTGTCTTTAACGAGTTTCCTGACAGACGACTTTTTCATATACTGCCTATTATTTATGCATTGTAGTAGCTGCAGCGGGCTGCTTATCTTTCTCACTTTTCAATTTGCGTATCGCTGCGTAGTTGTGTGTAGGTTGGTGCTTGCCAAAAGTGCAGTAAAAATGTTGGAACGAAGATATTAAACAATTACGGGGTGTAAATTGACAAAAGTTCAGGGCAGAATTGTTGCGACGACTGACGGTTTGCCGGACGCTACTCCTCGGAATTGGTTATTACATCATCAATTGGTACGCTGCTTTGCTAAAGATAAAATAACGGGGTGGGATCAAATTTTTTCAATAATAAAAATGGTTTAAAGTATGTTTTTTGGGGATAAAAACGATTAGTATATTTTCCGCCCGCTATCGAATGACATTTTCAAAAATCGAAAATATTTAAAACGCCGAAAACATTTCCCCCTTTTCATCCTACGCAGCACATATCATAGTTTTCAATGAGAGTTTTAATGCTATAAAACTTTTATATTACATTTTTTACGTGCTCAAAATAATCATCTTCGTAGGTTTTTTTGACCTTCTATCGATTGGAGCTTTTAAACAAATCGAAAACCTAAAAAATTGTAAGCAAAAAGATGCATTTTTGATAACCGCTTTTCTGCCGATCGACATGGGCCGTCTTGATCCCTTTAATTGACGATATATTTCAGGGGAACATGGACGGTGGCCGCCTATTTCGCACTGAACCCCGAGGCGGAAATTCTGGAAGTGGTAAATGTGCGCTACAAGAACATAACCGGAAGGGATATTGTTGGGACAATGAGTCTAACGATGGCTTTTGCAGTGGGTTCACGCATCTGATGATGATCGATACCCAGGATGTCTCGACTCCCCTCATCATCCGCTCCTATATCGGAATCAGTATTTTAAGCACAATCCTCGCAATCAATTGGGCGTTGATGTCCTATTGTGCGTGGGCTTTAAATGCTGTAAGTTTGCCGACTCGAGAAGATTCATGATTATTCTACGGTCTAGTTTACCCTCGCCCGCAGCCGCAACTTTTCATCCATACGTCCTATTAGTGCATGGAGTATCTCAAAACGTTAACGATGTTGAATCCTTTAGACCAAGTCGTTTCCTTGCGAGAATTAATTGCGAGAAATTCTTTACAAGTTTTTAACAGTTAAAAAGATTAAGGTGCCATGCTTCTGTTTACTTCTAACTCCAATATTTTCGTTTTAGCTGATTTTTTTGGACACCACATATTTCGTCTTACTTCACAGATCAAGGGCTACGTTTTGGTACCCTTGCCAGCCCCGTGGAGCCCAAGGAAAGCCGAGATCTGTAGGACTAAATATAGCCGAGATACGAAAACTCACTTTGGACCAGCAAAAATTATCTAAAGAAAGCCTAGGTGAAAAATGTTATAAAAATTTTCCAAGAATTTGTGATGTAAGAAAACACGTTTTGTCAAGTAATGCGAGCACCGCGCTCATTTTGATATACTCCATGCATTAATAGGACGTATGGCCGAAAAGACTGGCTGGGGGAACTAAACATCATGATTAAGGCACTGAACTTTGACCAGAGCCTCAGCCCCAAAACGCGGACGCTGCAGAAAGAGTTGTTTCGGGCACTAGTTGTTCAGGTACTTCTGGTATCCATTTTTCAACCAGACCAATATCAGCTGATCGTGCCGACACTGTTCGTCTTCGGCCCTTTATGTTTCTTCTTCATTTCGGCCGTCGTAGGATTTGAGAACTGGACCACGGATATCACAAGCGTCTTGATGATGTTTGACCCGATCCTCGAGCCACTTGTTTTGTTGTGGTTTATTAAACGCTACAGGTGAGGCACCACAGCGTGTCCGCAAACAAACCGGCACTCTTTAAAGAGGGGGCGGAGATATCAAATATATGCCTTATTGGCAAGGGCGTTGTATTTTGGGTAGTGTGCCCGGCGGCCGCTGCGGGATGGAGGCCTTGGCTCTTCCGATTTTTGACTGATTTCCTCACCAAAGCACTAGAATACGCAGATTCTCTTAATTTTTTAAATCTTCACCAAATTTGAAATAGTTTTCGCGTTTCAATCTTCAAATTTGGCCCGGAAAAGCCGAAAACGCGTTTTGGTGGTGACCACGGGGAATTTCAAATTCACGCGCCTCCTGCCGCCTGGGTGTGCAAAGGCCTTTGACGTGCAGGCGGCTCCAGTTATTCAGCCGCAACTAGGTTTTTGCTTATCCGGCACCCTCTATAATCTGTGCATTGTAGTCTGGCGGTTTTCCGGATTTAGGCAGCCATTAACAGCTTTCGGAAAGGAGAGGAGATGCGTTACCGCGAATGTTTCGGAATTCACAAATTTTGTCACAATTTTTAGCGCTCTGATGTAGTGCAAGGCACCCTTTCTCGAAAAGGCCATTGAACAACATTTCAGGACCCCGGTGGTGCGCTGGTTGGGTTGTGGTTGGAACTCGATGGTCGGATCCTCGGTAGAATTCCTCAAAGAATTTTCAGAGCTTATAAATATCTATATACAGGGTGTCCCAATAAAAAAGGTCACGCTGGCATTTTGCTATTTCAAACCCGACCGACTTGAAATTTTGCACTCGAAAACTACTGTACCGATCGGGCTGAAAGTTTCTGTGAACATTTTGAATTCCCTTCCGCACCTCTGTGCAAAATTTCAGATCGATCGGATTTGAAATAGCAAAATGCCAGCGTGACCTTTTTTATTGGGACACCCTGTATATCATAAGAATTTTTAGAACGGCGCCAATACCCTCACCAAAGGCGCTAAACCACCAAACCCCAACCTCTTTGCATTGCAGCCGCTTGGCGAAAGGATAGCCGAGAAACCTGAGCTTGCTGACCCAATAGATGATGGTTCTGGCAACGCGCATAATATCGATACGGTTGAACCGGCTGTTTGATAAATTTGCAAATCTCTAGGAAAGCCCTACAAAATATACCACAAAATGTTCAAAAATACGCGTGCACTCCGAAGTTTTTTAGTGCTGAAATAGGTCGACCGAAAATTTTAACGCAGCCTATAGGACTATTTGCTTATACGCCAGCCACTTGCAGGCTGGACTTCGGGTTACTCCCCTGCGCTCCCTCCTCTCGCCGAAACGCGCGCTACCTGGCTCACTTGCCCAAAATCGTGCAATTAGCCGCCCCACTCGTTTTACTAACTAGTAAGGCGCCAATTTCCAGTTAAATTCGATAATTTGAACAAAAACTTTTTCATGATTGTTTATCAGTCTGGGGTTTCTGACCGCGCTCTATCGGATTCCGCAGAGACCTAAGCTCTAGCTCTTTTCCCCTTCGAGTTGAATTCGGGACACGGCAGACGGACGGACACCCCAACCATTTTTTTATAACTGATTCAATTGAACCGAAAGTCCTTAGAATCGATCTCGGGAAATTGCTTTCTAAACATTTTGTGGCAAGTTATTATAGAACTGAGGCACTAAGATAACGAGTTCGCGCTACTAATTAAAGCCCACGTTCAGGTAGGGGCCGTGTACTCGTACCAACGTGTACACCCTATGGACGTAGCGACCGCGTGCCTACCCGTGCCGTGGCAGGCAATTCCCCTCCGTTGCGGCGTGGGGCGCCCCTCACCCCTCGCCAGGTTGTAGCTGTGGCTGATTGGAATCCATCCGCGCCTTCCGAGCGGGTGGGGGGGGCGGGTTGGTGAACAGCGGGTCGAGGCGATGTTCCAATTCTTTGGAAATCTACTAAAAATAGGCTTGAAAGGGAACTTCTTGTGATTCCGTCCCACGGGCCGAACCGGGGCATTTGACTATGCAGAGATTTATCGCAAATACGTATTGGTTCTGAACCGTTTGCTGAAAAGAAAATATTACGGAGTCAAAAAAATTATAAGGACTTTCGGTGCAACCCAATATGTTCTGCAGTCGGGAGTTGCGGAATGTGATAAATTTTTTCAATTACGATGGAAAATGAAGGCCTTTATTGCCCGACCTTCAACATTATCAGCAGGTAGAAAAGCCCTCTCTGGGATTGAGATTTGGGCCACGAAGAGATTTTGGCCATGTATTAGCGAGACGATCAGCACTTCGCCGTCATTTCGTCTGATACGATAGTAGATTCTCTGACCATTCGTTGAATAATGGTTTGGGTATCGCCGGAAAAATCGTTCGTGGACTCCGCCAGCCATGGGAGTGAGTGAAGTCACCCCACATTGCTGGATTTCACGCTGGCCTTTTAGCCATTCCTCGACCACAATGTGGGCGTAGGCATCTACTTCACCGCCAGCTTCCTTTTGCCAATCGATCCAGATAAGGGGCATATTTAGGGGAACGTACTCTGCTAAGCGAGAACGGCGCTCGTTAATCACTAGAATGTCGGCGGATTCGTTCAACCACTCGAACAAATCTCGATCAGCCGGCATTTTTATAATCCAGACGTGTACGTATTTGTTGGCGGGTTTATGATGCCGTAGAATAGAAAGACAGGTGCTCCCATAATTTAGACGTATTGTTTCGGCGCGAATGTTGATGTCGTGAAGAATGTCGTGACCGACAAACCTTAGTTCCTCGATGGTCGAATTATCGAAAATCAACTTCAAGGTTTTCATGTCCAGAGTGACGCCTTCCTGTGACCCGGCAAAAAAACATTTGAAAGCCGTTGTTTTTGGGATCCGCACGGAGTGAGACATGCCAATATTTGTCACCACAACTCTTCGCCACCTCCATCATCTTCTTGCTTGTGATGGCCGTCTTGAAGAAGCTTCTCATGTCCATATTCCGAAGAATGTTGTGTTGTACGACAAGGGGGAAGGCGCAGAAGTCAATCGTCATCTGAAATTCAGAATTGTTACAGCACTGACAATGATAGGACTAATTGTTGCCGGGAAAAGGAAAGCCAGCGAGAGAGAGAGAGAGAGAGAGAGAGAGAGAGATAAAATTAGCCAAAAAGCAGAACAAGAAAGATTTTAAACGGAATTTATTTTTTTGGGAAAATTTGAAGCCAGAAACCGGCAAGATTATTTGCATACTAGCAGTTGGTGTTTCGTGAAATTAATTGAGAAAATCTGCCTCGTTTGAATGACATCTGGCTAAAGGGTCGCTGCGCATATCGAATTTTTCAGGGAATTACGCATCGCCCCGGCCAGGGCGTCGAAATTGACCTTGGCGGGTCTTTCTACAGATATATCTGCCAGTTGTAACGGATGTACGCTGAGGCACGCCTTTTCCGTGCTTCAAAATCGGGAGGCTCCGATGATTGAAATACAAATTGAAAATTTAAATTTAAATTGGTTAAAAATTGACGAAATCGCGTCAAAATTTGCAAATTCACGCGCTTTCACGCCCCAACAGTGGAAAAAGATCATGCGGCGTGGCCGTATTGCGATCATATCGGGCTATTTGTCAAGAATCAACGCTGAGGGCCGTTTATCGGATTTAGGTTCGGAGCAATGTCTTTCCACGCGACTATAGGATTCGGGTCATCGGTTTTTCAAGCTACAACACCAAAAATTTGTTATTAGAAGAAAGCTGCTAATAGATTTCGAAGGAGTCGGTATTTTATCGTGCTGAATTTGGCCAACCGAAAATTTCTAACGCATCCTGTAATTTTTCTGCTTGTATCGCTGCACTTGAGAGTTCCGGCTTATGATCTATTTATTCAATCACGAGGAAAAAGAAATTTCCACGTCGCCCAATCCACCAAAATAGGGTATTCAAGCGGAAGCCATTTCGGCATCGAGATTTTGATGCGCGGCTTCTGTTCGTATTCATCCAGGATGACGATCAGCACTTCGCCGTCATGCCGCCGTATACGGTAGTAGGTGTGGCGGGGTTGCGCACGGAAATGGCTTGTGTATCGGCTGAAGAATTGTCGGTGGATTCCTCCAGCCAGTTGGCTCGGGGAGACCACTATAATTTGATGGATTTGTCGTTCTCCTCTGAGCCATTCCTCGAGCACGGCGTGTGCGTAGGCATCTACTGGTAAACCGCCTTCCGTTCTTGACCCGATCGCAATCATAGGCGCACGCAACGGCAAGAATGCTGATAGCGGAGAACCGCTATTTACATACTTCAGACACTCCGTCGATTCATTAAACCAATCAAAATCTGTGTCCGCTAACATCCTGTGTAAGGTGACTTTCTCATATATTCCAACTGGTTTGTGACGCTTTAGAATTGGAAAACAGTCCGATTCCTCGATGAGAGTCAATTCTGTGCAACGATTGTTGATGTCATACGGAATCTGCAGATGGTTAATTACGAGCTCCCGAATGGTCGAATGATGGAAAATCAGCTTCATCGTTTTCATGTCCAGTGCGTGCCTTTGTTGCCATATAAAATACATTTGAAAGCCGTTGTTGCTTTGATCCGTGTAGAGGGTCACCTCCCAATATTTGTCGTCACAGCTCGTCGCCACCTCCATCATCTTCTTGCTAGTAATGGCCTTTTTGAAGAAGCTATTCATGTCCATATTCCGAAGGATATTGGATTGCACAATGATCGGGAATTTACAGAAATCGATCGTCATCTGGAAATTGAGAATTGTCGTTGTATGGAATTTCGAAGAAAGCTCGAGAGAAAGAGAGTGGGAGAGATAGAGAGCGAGAGACAGAGAAAGAGAGAGAGAGACCGAGAGAGAGCGAGCGAGCGAGCGAGAGAAATTGCGAGAGTGGTAGGGATCGATAAAACTACCCAAAAAGCATAACCAGAAATAGAATTTCAAGCCTTGCCGCGTAGATACAGCATGCCATTGGAATCTAGCGGAATCCGCCGTGCACGACACTTGGAAATCAAGCGATAAAATCTGCCTCATTTGGATGGTATCTGGATCGAGGACTATTGTTTATCTCGAATCTCCGAGGGAATTGCGCCTAACCAAAGCGGGCCGAAATTCAAGTTAGCGGGTGTTGCTGGAGGTACATCTGCCAATGATATTGCAATCGGTGGTGCGCGCATCGATCGCCCACGAAAGCGGAGCACGAGCTGAATTGGTCTATTTTTTGTATGACGAAAATATTTGGCTTAGAAAATTCGGCTGCAGACCGTTTCTATGGGTCCCCCATCACGGGTAAAAATTAGGTCCCGATCCGACAGAAGAATGCAAAATGCCGAAGGGCGGTTGTTTTATTGGGACACCCCGTAGTTTGGTATGAAGTATTTTGCATGCTTAGAATTTGCGTCTTACGGTTTAAGAGAAATTTATTCAGTCACGATGGAAGATGAATCTTTCCGTGGCTATGTCATCATCCCCGATAAGTCGAACCATGCGTGGGATCGAGATTTGGACCACGAAGGTTCGGTTTTCTTCCATACGGACGATGAGCACTTCGCCGTCATGCCGCCTGATACGGTAGTAGCTACACCATTGATTGACAAAATGACTTGGATATCGGTTGAAGAATTGCTCGTGCTCCCCGATGGCCAGGGGAGTGCAGGAGGCGACAATGATGTCGTTGATTTGTCGTTCGCCTCTGAGCCACTCCTCGAGCACAATTTGGGCGTGGGCAACCAAGCACCCGCCGCCCTTCCAAGGCGGGTTCGACCAAATTTCAGGCATCGTTAACGCCACGTATTCTGTTATCGGAGAACTGCGATTCCTGAAAATCAGATGGTCTGTTGCATTGTTCAGCCATTTCAGCAAATTTTGATCAGCCGGCATATCGTCCACAGAGACGCTTTGGTATTTTCCGGCGGGTTTGTGACGCCTCAGAGTCGCCAAACAAGTGTCTCCATAATCAAGCCTGATCCTTTCGCAGCGAATGTTGATGTCAACAGGGATTTCGGGACGGGAACCTTCTATCCGGCTGATGACCGAATTATCGAAAAGCAGCTTCAAGGTTCTCATGTCGTTGATACTAGGGCCCCATGAACCCGGCAAAAACATCTTGAAGCAGTTGTCTCCACGAGTTGCGTAGAGGTGTACATCCCAATAT